TATTACGTTATCATTATCATAATAATATATTATCAATACGTCATTATTTTAAAAAATTAATGAAATAATTTTTGTTTATTTAATATACGTATATATAATGATATGTATATGTGTAAGGTATATATATTTAAAACTCAATTATCTATATATATATATATATATATATATATATATATATAATATAATTGATGATTTACACTTTCAACTTTAAACCTTTATATCGTCTAAATGGTTATATTTATGAAAAAAATATAAGAGACCTTTTTTGTAGATCGTTAGATTTTCTACAAAAATATGTATTGCGTATTTCATAATTTTTGATAGTCGATAGGATACAAAATTCATAAGAAGCAAAAACAAGTTTTATAAAATTTATCAAACACTTTAACTTTGAATATCTTTTGAACGGTTGACGTTGTGAAAAAATGATAAAAGATCTTTTTTGTAGAGCGGTAACGTTACTACAGAAAATCTACGTGGCGCACGGCTGTCGTACTGTTTGTTAGATAGTTATAACATTTTTTCTATCTTACTAAATAAAAAATAAAAAATTGCGCGGAGCGACCTGTTAATATTAATATTAATCTTATTTTACTTTCCTGCAAGTATATATGCTCGTCGTGAAATGAAAAAAAAAGTTGCTCCAAAATGACACACCCTAATATATATATATATTTAAATAAAATTCAGCTTTAAACATTATTTTTTTGCTATTAGCGTAAATATAAATATTGTATAACTAATATTTATATCAATCAGAATTAAATTAATCTTTTAATATTGTACGGATCATATTCCTAATTAATAACCGGATATCCGTTTACGTTTAGCTTATTAAAGTTTAAGACCGCAGAAGAAAATATTGAGTGATTATATGGTGGAGATCAAGTCAGCTTCGTGCTCTATTCGGGCTTGATGAGGCTGTTTGGAGTTTTATTCAGCAAATTCCATTGACGATGATCAAACCCTTTAAGTGTTGCAAACAGCTATTGACACTGACAAGTAATAGATATAGGATGGCTATACCAGGGGTGGGAGGGTAAGGTCTGACGTACGTAGAATACATAGCGGAACAAATAGTGTTTTAATATGAGCGCGCTCGTAAGAACCTCTCTTTTTCGCATCAAAAAGAAATATAATAATAAGTCTGTCATTACGCATCAAAATCTAGAGTCCTATATAGATAATCAGAGAGGCAACATTGACGATTATAGCGATCTATCGCAATCTATCGCGATTATCCGTCATGTTGCTTCTATTATGAGTAAAAAAAGTTGAAGGAAGAAGGTTAAATTGTAAGAAGAAGGGGAGAAAAGTAAGTGTTTCCTAAATAAACGTACTAATAGATATTTTCCTATTGTTGTTTTCACCGATAAATTACCATTAACGTTATGTACAAATGCGCATTATACATATTGCGCTACTGATTGCTTAATACAATGTAGTAGGGAAACAAATAAATGGCGTTATGATCATGTGATTTAGGCAGCTGATCAGACTATACCTCTAAATGTCGCCTCTCTGATTATCTAGGACTCCTATCAAAATCGAATATCCAATTATTGTGAAACTTCCCCTAAACGGGGAATTGCGACCACTTTCTATATAGAAGAATTTGCTAGACAAACTAATATTGATCTTCTTCATTTCTCTTACTTCTTCACTTGTCTAAAGCCTTCAGAAGCAAAACGATAGATATCTTCACTACGCAAATGAACGACGGTTTCTTGATGTATTCATACTCTTCGGCAATTCTTGTCGTTGCAATTATGAAGAAAGTTTTGATTAAATCAGATGATAATCTCGAAGAAGGAGAAGCGACAACTGTGTATGAAAAATTAGAGTCCAAATACTTTCTTCCAATTATCGCAAACGCAATCGTAAACTAAGCTTCGTAGCTCGTTCGAGAAATACCGTGGAGAACGATCGCGTCGTTGTGCTAGGTGATTTCAGGCGAGAATCTCTTTAAAGACGGTATTTCCCCGAGGAGAGACTCACCTACACAAGAGGGATCGGTGTGTGAGCGTATCGTTGTGTCTCACGTCTCACAAGGGAGAGGCATCGTCGAAGGGACGAGTGTCGGGTGGCGAGACGCGTTTATATATAAAATAACATCAAGATCACGTCGGTCGTCGGTGGGCGGATAGGAATAGGGAGGTGAAGGCGAACGAGGGAGAAGGTGGATATCACGGGGTGGCTGTGGTTCGGATGTGCGGGGGAACGTCGGGGTCACGGTGGGTTCATTCAGCGATGTGCAGTTGGCCGGGTGCTGTCTGACTCGTCTCATCAGCCGCCGTCGCGTTCTCTCTCTCTCTCCCTCTGTCACTCTCTCTCCTCTCATCTTTCTCTTCATGGTCGTTCCCTCTCTAGGCTTCATCCGCCGGCGCGTTAGAACCGTTCTCCCTACCCTTCGTCTACCCCCAACGGCCCCAACCCGTTGTACATACGGTTTTCACCGTCGTCGACGGCCACCGGGGCAGCACCGAGCGAACGTCCGTCGACGACGGCGATCGCGATTTTTCCTTTGTCTCTCCTCCGCCGCCGCCGGTTTCGCGGCTGCTCGCGACGGTCGCGGCGGCGTATACCGCGCACGGTACACGTGCGTCGACATGACGGCAGCAGCGCGACGTCCGATCGTCCACGTCGTCCACCTGGCCACCGAGCCTTGGCTGCAACGCGCGGTGGCGGCAGTGTCAGCCTCGGCGGTGACTTCGATCGCCCGACGGCTCTCGTAAAGCGGAGGTGGGTCACGTCGAGCTCCCGCGCGCTTGAGCGATCAGTCGTTGACAGATGGTGCGCAGTTCTACTTGGTACACACGCTCGAACGCGCGGATTCTCCAATGTCTACGTGTCTCCTCCGCGTGCAGGAGAAATCCGTGCGCGTGGATTCGCGAAACGTTAATCGGCGCCCTCGTGAGTTATCCGCCCGAGAGCAAGGCGGGGAGAGAAAGAAACGAATTGACCGAGAGAGACCCGAGAGAGAGGGTAGAGAATCGTAGAGGGGTGGTGGATGCGCGAGGAGGCGCGTTCGCGAGTAAAGAAACGTCAGATCTTAGAAAACGGGGGGATCTCCGATCGCGTGTCGGCACGATCGTTCTCTCGGAGAATCTCCACATCGTGAACGATTAATAATAACAACTTGCCGTCGCGATCGTACGGAGAACGTTGGAGAACGCGTCCTCCGCGACCGTCGCCGCCAAGAAAGATAGAGCCGTTTGTGAGATCGAATTTCTTCGCACGATCGAGGTACACGATCGTTAATCCGGGCGAGCAGAAGGTATATCCGATTCGGAGCGCGGTTTCGGTCCGAGGAGAGAGCGCACGAGACGTATTCCTTCCTTCCTCGCCTCGGTGGAATGCCCCTCCTCGAACGCCCGCCCTGTCAGGACGTCAGCTGGAACTTGCGTGGAACGTCCTGGTTGCGCGATGTGCCGCCGCTGCAGCTTCTAGAGTTCTAGTCCGTCGCCGCGCTCCGACCGACGACGGCGGCCGCAGACGAGAGGCACGGTGGAGCGGCGATCGTTAGACTTTTACTCCGTCACACCGCTTACACCGCGATTCGCGACGTGGTGCAATCCGCGCTCGCCTACTCTACGCGGAAGGAACCCCGGCCCTTGCACCGCCCCGGCACGGATAAGGGAGACATCCGTTCGAGTACGCCTCATCGTCAACCAGGCGGGAGAGCTGCACGCGGGTAATTTCTCGAGCGTCGACTGAACTCGGTCTCCTCGCTCTTTCTCTCTCTCTCTCTCTCTCTCTCTCTCTCTCTCTCTCTCTCTCTCACTCACTCACTCACTCACTCTCTCTCTCACTCTCTATCCGCACTTCTCTCTCCTCGCGGCTACGCAGTCAATTATATATATACATATGTGTGTATATATATTCCACATATATATTCTATGCTCTCTATTCGCGCGAGAGAACGTGCCTCCTCGCCAAACTCGTCGCGCGTATTCGCGTAGCATCCATCAGCCAAAATGTAGCTATCATCGAAAGAAAAAAGAGAGCAAGAGAAAGAGAGAGAGAGCTTATAAACTAGCTTGCATTACGCGATTCTTGCAATTTTCTCGATGTCATCTCGCAGAGGATCATAAGTGTGTTACGTTGCGGGAGAAACATCGAGAAGACGCTTGCAACGTGATCACGCTTAGATCCATCGTGCTTTGGCAGAACGACGAAGTCGCGATCAACGTCGTTGTAAGATATCCGTTCCAGCAATTCGCGCGGCACTTGTAACTCGCAACGTTGAAAATTTGCGAAAAATATTCGTTTTTGCGAATCTCCCTCTCTCTCGCGATGCTCGCATCCAGCACTTCTCTCAGCGAGACGCTGCCCAGATAGCACGCTTGTCTAAAAGATGTCGTAAAGATGTCTTTTAGACACGTGTGTCTAAAAGATGTCTTTACGACGTCTTTTAGACATACGTGCTGTCTGGCTGATATTCGGGACGAAAAATGATTGCGACGGAGTGGCCGAACGACGCGACGCGTCGTAGTGCTTTTGGCGTCGGTGCACGTTACACGCGTCGCGCGTGGTCGTTGACTATTATTCCACCTATTTATCTCTGACTCGTCTCTTTCTCTCTCTTCGGCTATCTGTCCATCTCGCTTTTAACTTATATAAGAGAGCACTGTCTGCAATGCGAGAGTGCGAACGCGTCCCCGGTCCCCGGCCGCGATGCAGAGGCGAGTCTCGAACTCGCGGCGCCCCCGGCAATCTCGCGATCGTTAACGTTGTCAGGAATGTTAGAGGATCGTTATAATGTTGCGGCTGCAATTAACATTTAGCGCGTGTACATTAAGCGCGCACCCGCAACACGTGCCACGCGCAACGTATAACGTGTTATCGTTACATACATTATGTACGTTCAAATCATCCGATCGGATGATTCACTGTCCCTAATTTGTTATTGCGAGCAGCCAATATATATATATATATATATATATATATTTCCTTCTCGTCGTAATAATCATGTTATTACTCCAACAACCTTATTGTACCTGCCTTCCCTCGTTGCCGCGATCATTTCCCCAAACGGCGCAATCTGCTCGTAATCGGCCTCGCCGTTCGCGGCGATGCGTGATAAAAACGATTACGCCTCTCGAGTGACCCGTCTGCGTGGACGCGCGGCATACCAATGGAGATTGGAACTCGACCGTCGACCTACAGCCGCGGGCCGCGGCATAGTTGAAAATTGATTTATACCCTCTCTCTAACATTGTACGAGACGCTCCGTATCGCTCGGCGCGTTGCCGCATACTCGCGATCATTTGCCGTAACGACCGCCGCCGATTGTTGCGTGCATCGCGATTTAAGCGGCGCGTGCCACGGCCGTTTCGCGAAACTTTGCGAGCCTAGGTATAGGTATGTGTCTGTCTTTTTTTTATTGCAAAACTGGCTGCACTAGTTCAGAGTTTATCTTTTTCCCTTCAATGTGGAGTGATGCAGCCAGTTCAGCAATAGATAACAGACCCTATATCGCCTGCGTCTCGGAAGGAACACAGAGACAGTTCCTTCCGATATCGACGATGCGATATCGGTGTGACGTAGCATGGATAAGGACGTCGGAAACGTGATACAAGCGTCGCCACGCGACATGCCCATAAAGCGCGATCGACAGGTATACACGTGACACGCGACACGCGACGGTACGATTTCCGGAGTAACGCGACACCGTCGCGTCGCGTCGCGCCGAGCAGAGGAGCCGCTTGCGGGTCCACTGTCGCAGTTCTGCGATTAGCCGCTGAAAGAGGTCGGCAATAAGAACACCGTTTACCTAATTAACACGGCCGACGGACGGACGCGGGCTCGGCCGTTGCGCGGCTCGTTGACCCCGCGTGCAATTCTTGGACTTGGACCGTCCTTCGGGCGGATTGACAGTTCGGCAAACGGAGAAGGCGAGTAAAGTAGCGAGTTGTGAGGCGCGAACGAAGGAGAATGGAAGAAAGCGGAGGATATAGGATATAGTGCGCCGACCCGAGCTACCCGCCTACTCGATTTTTCCCATTATACTTGGCCGACGCGACGGCGGTGACCCGGGTCCTCTTCTACTCGCCCGCCGCGGCTGACCTCCCCGCGACCCGTTCTGCAATGCGTCAGCAACGGCTTCTACCGCCGCCGCTGGCGCGCGGTATCTACAGTATATACGCTCCCGCACGTTCTACATCCGTTCTCCGCTCCTCTCCTCTCGCGGCTAGCCGACTACACGGCGGGTACATTGAGCGTCATATACGCCGTCGACGTTCACCGAATCACGTTTTCTATAAAGCCATTTCCGGAAGGAACGCGCACCTATAGTTATCGCACGTCGTAAAAGCGTCCGCGGCGAAAAAAGGTAGAAGGCAAACGTGGGTGCTGGGCAATAATTAACGCGGCGATTAAAATTTTACACATTTTATCACAAGCTAATTAACGGTTATTGATAAACGTTGACATGTTCGGTATTTAACATTAAGCGACGAAAGCAACGGTACGTGCACTGGAAAGTATATTAATGAATTAAATGAAGGAAATTATTAACACGATTAGGGGATATTCGGAAGCGGCTTGGAAATCACGAACCCGTGGACGTTGCTCGTCGTTGCGGATCTACGAAAATATACTCGCCGAAGCTATTAGGATTTGACTATTTAAAGCGGACTAATAGTCGTTTCTGCTATGTATATCGATGACGTCAGGACGATATTTCTCTGACTAAATACGTTCTTGTAAATGCACATATATAGGACAGTGAAACAGAAACTAAAATCAATTTAAAACCTTGGAAATAGCTTGTCTGGCGCGTCATTGATTAAAGTTTCAGAATGTGTAAAAACAGTTTAATCATATTTAGTAATCAGCCATATGTTTAATGTCGCACTGATTGCGCTGCATTAATTTTTCTGTGTTTTACAACGAAAGGCAACGAATAAATATCTCGCGAAATATTTTTTGATATCGTAAAACTTTTAACTGTTAAATTCGTTTACTTAACTTTGTATATTTTTAAAATCGGATTTCCGTAGGTTTTCTCACTTCTGAAATACGTGGTATAATTATGCCAACTATCTCATCACTTTAATAGCACAATAGTATACGTTCCGCATGGAAAGCAATCATTAGGCTTCTTTCGATTAATAAAGTATGTACAACAGCAAATTTACGACTAACGTACGACGATAAAAATCATGAAATTCTAATGTTTTTAATTCTTTTAAACTAGTTTAGAAAGATGCAGCAAAATGGGAAACTTGCTCGAATATCATGTAGCTTTCAAGTATCACATCGCGATTGCATATTTTCTTAGTAACGTGGGATGGTATTTTACGATATCAACCACGTGCGAATGAAATATTATTAGCTATTACCGAATCCATAATACAATAGTATTGATTTTAGTAACAACGGGTGCGATATTTGATTGGAAATAAAACTTGATATAATTTACGTTCTTAAAAATACAAACAGAGGGAGATATACAATTTAAAATTAATTTTAAGAAGAATGTAGCATTTGTAATCCTTTGTTTTTTGTTACTAAATCTTTATTTTTTTCGTACATTTCAGTTTGCTTTAATTTGTTTTTGTTTCAAACGAATCGTTTTAGTCGGAGCCTTTTGCAGATTTGGACAAAACGTTCATTATAATGTCCGTTTATTTAATGTCCGTCGCACGTGGTGCGTAGCCTAACAGAAAGTATGAAAACAACTTAACGTCATATTAGTAAAGATCGATAGGCCTTGCTAAAGTTGATAAGGACTTTTTTTGTTGCCTATTCCAACTGATGAAAACTATCCGCTTTATTAACTTATGCTTTATCATACACGTCAGAACTGTTTTTATACGCGTGGTTTACTGCATATTGCTTGAAACACGCTTGTACTAATTTGAATTTATATGTGTACATAATACTATGTTTACAAGCGTTAAGAAGCTGTAAAATATATGCGAGATGACGGAAAGCATTGCGTTTAAAAAGTTCAAAAGGAGTCAGCGTGGCATATGTCACTCTTAGCATACATACATGCAAACTGTTCTCGATACAACGTTTGGCACGTTAAAAAAATTAAAGTCGGTTTTAACTTGAAGATTGGCTATTTACGACTCATAATGGATCAAAAGAACTGCGCTATCTATAGCACATGGGCGATGATTGCCGCATAATATCTTAGCCTCGCTAGCAATTTGAACCGAGATACAGTTCTCGGATTACGGCGGATTACACGAAATTACAGTAATAATAATCCCGATGAAGAAAAACTCCGTTTGAGGCGGGGATCCGCGAAACGAGCGCTCGCCGCGCAAGCGATATTACGCGTGATCGTCATCTATTATATTTACCGATTCAGCGCAGTTAACGTTCAATAGGACACACGATAAGGGAAATGATTACATTTGTAGATTATATGATATCTAAAAATACGAGGTCAGATTGACACGCGAAGAGCCAGATTGCAACTAATTATCCACCACCCTAGCCGAATCAATAATTTTATATATACGAAGCGTTTTATCGATGCGATCACTCGGACGTGCGGAACGGGGCGGATATACATATTCTATTTCCAATTCATTTTTAATCACGATGATGCACGATTTGCTGAATGAACGGAGAGAGCGGACACTTGCCATAAATTCCATTTCATGAAAGTAGGTCTCGTCCAAAGACACTTCCCGGAAAACGTCAGCGAAACAGGCGGGACTATTGAGCGACACGAGGCTTTCGAGTTTCGCATCGTGACTCAGTGAATATTACGTTTTGCGTATCTCGAGTATAGTTGTCACCTAGTATTATCGACATGTTTCCTCTAGGCACACAATATATTATCGTAACAAGCGGATATTATAACATTATACCCGTCGCATGCAGCAAGAGCGTTGCCTTGGGGATGTATTTGACATGAAAGTCACGGGTAAACTAATTCTCTCTCTCCTCCCCTCTCTCTCTTGCTCTTTTCTTACTACGTAGCTTTTACTCATTCCGCTTGAGATTAAATCTACAGCTGTGGCTAATCGAACGGATTACAGATTGTCGGCGACGACAGGTAAAATGAAATTTATCTTCAATTATTTATAGTCAAGCGTGGATTATATTTGCTATAGCTATGATTATAGGTTCACGATCGTTGCACGTTTAAAAAATAGCAATATATTTTTATAGACTATAAAAACTCGGGTTTTTACTCCTTTTCGGAGAAAAATATTCAGAGTCTGAATTTACTTTACTTGGAGAGTTATGCTCTCTAAATAAGAGTTTTAATAGCAAGAATGTATATAAAATCTAATTGCAAATTTAGTATAGATTTATGGAACATTATTATATGATATAGAATTTTCTGAAGAATAAAGATAAAATTAAATTTATTGATAGAGTTGACACATTCTTTAATATCGGGGAAATTGAACGACATTTAATATTAAAAGTTCAGACATGGGTTAACCTAAAATGAATAATTAAATTAATGAATATTTAAGTAATATACGTATATATAACACTGTCTGTGAGACCTTCCAAGCATCTTATTCAGATATGCTACAGCGTGTTTCGAGTTCATCCATACCCAGATAGCACGCATGCAGTCTAGAAGACATCTTAGAGGCATCTTTATATACAACGTCTTTTAGACATGCGTGCTATCTGGGGTATAAGATCTATAAAATCAAATGTAACGGTGAACAGACAATTTCTTTTGTACGGAAACCAGAGCTGCGAAGGAAAAGCTGATGAGATGTTGAATGGAAATTCATAGAAGGAGGTTAATATAGCGTGTGGCCGGCGAGAATGTTCACCAAGCGGCAAGAATTTTGAGAATGACGTAGTCAGAGAGGTAGATATATATATATATATATATATATATATATATCTACGCGTTCATTCAGGGTTGAAGCAATGTGGAAATCGAGGCTGAGATCTCGCGAAGCTTTGGTTCTAAATACAGAAAAAAACCCTTTTTTCTAGGGTCAAATCATACTCGCTTGTAATATATACACACGCACACACACAATGGACACGAGTACGTATTAGAAGTGACTAAAGACTTTCAGATTCTTATCCTCTCTCGTGCCTAATATACACCTACCAATATCGTTCAACTATGAATATGCTTTTACGTTATGCGAATACGTTCATCTTCGTAATTT